GATGAATATTGCTCCAATCTACTTCAAATTTTATATAGAAAAACTTGAACAATAAAGCGCTATCTGCACTAAAGCAAGATGCACTAGTCACAGACCAAGAATCTTTCAGCCAGCTAAAAACAAATTTAAATCAAATGTGGTTGATAATAGAAAAAGAGCAATTCTGAAAGCAGGTCGAAACAATCTGCCAAGTAAAGTGGTAAATTTCAGAAAAAAGCCTAATCACAAGAAAAAGAAAAACAGGTTCTTCAAAGCAGCTATTTTACTAAGTAAAGTAGTTAGAGAAATGAAAACAACAAATAAAGAAAAGCTCTATATAAGATTAAAACAATGGAACAAAAAAATTAGACAAGACAATAGATGGGCAGATAGCAGTATTGATGAAATCGAAATACTGAAGTTATCAGAATGGCTAGAAGACGCAATAACCTGGTGGAAAATAATTGAAGACAAGCTAGTAGAAAGTAGTGAAAAGGTTAAAAAAAAAGAAATACAACAATATATCCAAAAAAGAGCAGAGCAAATTGTAAAAGAACAAAAGAAAATATTAACTAGCTTGCTAGAGTATCCGTTTTGTAAAGTAGTTCTAGACAGAGTATATATACAACATCAAGAGTCTACAAATCTTTTAACTAACCCAGCAGAGGTTTTGGAAGAAGTCCGATCTTATTTTCAAAACCAGTTTATAAACAGAAGAGAGGATAGTGCTGAAATAGAAAAGTTATAGTTTGAAGAATATCAACCAAAAGATTGCATTGTAGAAACTTGGTACAATCCAGTAATACAATCTGCTACTTTATTCCATTTTATACCCGAATGTGCTTTAATCTTTATCAACTCAAGATTAAGTGACTTGAAATGAACTATTTCTGTGATCTTGTTGAGAATTGTTCTGTTTTTCCTTTTAAGTCCTTTATTGAAGCTCTTTTCACTTAGCGCATCTCTTATTGCTAAAATTGCAGCAGCACTATCAGTTTTTATTTGCACTTTTGAGTTTGAGGCTACTGTTAAAAGTGCGCATAATATTGCTAAAAGCTCTGGTCTTGTGGATGATGGCCAATTACCAACTCTCGCTCTGCCCTTGAATATCAACTCTTTCTCATCTTCTGAAACCTGAACCCATCCTATGCCCATTCTGTCTTCATCAAGTTTGTTATACTTGTTTGGAATCTATGAGCCATCTGTATAGAAGATATTTCTTTTTCTCTTATGTTCTAGGTTGACTCTTAGTCCCTAAGATAGTAGAGCTTTAATATTGGCCAGAAGCCCTAAGTTCTCTATATATTCTACGTTTTCATTTTCTACAACCTTTATGTGGTCGAATGTCTATTTTGGCATACTCCTTTCTCTAACTAGTGAGCTATATATCTCCTTTGAAATTCTAAGGTGTAGGCTCTCCTCATCTTTCACTATATACTCTATTTTACCTAGCACTTAATCTAATTCTATATTAAACCTACAACTACTTTCTCCTATATTGTTATAATCATAACCCTTGCATTGCACTAGCCTGATACTTTTTTTGGTTGGGTCTCCTTCTACCCAGTGTTCTGTTAATACCCTGTTTGGTCCTTTCTCTTGCACTCAGCCAAATTCTAGCTGGCTTGTTTCTTTTCTATAGTATAGGATCCACTCTTTCTGTCTTTTATCCCAGCTTATCTTTGGTAGGCTGGGCACTATAGCCTCTTCATTAATTCCTTGTGTACGAAACTGGGCTTTTATTTTACGTTCTCCTTCACTCTCAAACAATCTACTCTCAATAGACCTGTACCAGAGTGGGGTCATGCCACTACAACTTCGATTTTTTAATGCTTTTACTTGCTGCCATGTTAACAAGTTTTTACTCTTTATATCTAGTAGTTAATTAACGAAGTAAAGCCCCAAGCTTGCTTGTTGTTTTATACTTTTCTTCCTCTGCAAGGAGTCTAATATGCTTGCAATTGTTGCTCCCGACCCTAATATACTCCAACCCTTTTCTTCTGTACCAAAAAATATATCTACCTTTTTACATTGTTCTATCGTGTTAAGTGCGATATTGCCTTTGTAATTGGGGTTTGCCTCTGGCAATGGGTCTTTCCAGACATTATGTACTATGCCTTTTTCTAAAATTCCTTGTCTAATTCTCATTTTGGTAATGTTCTCTATGATACTAGTACTATTTAGTCTTTTAAACAGTGCTGTAGTCTGTTTTGCTAGTACTGCATTTGCGAGCAGTTTAGTTTCTAATGTACCCCCGTGTGCTAGGATACTATTTGGTACTGTTTGCGCAATTCCCAACTTTCTTTTTATTAATCGCAAAAAAGGCTGATGGATTGTATTTAACTCCCTTTCCGTTAGTGCTACGGTTTGTAGGATATACTCCAATTTGGGAATTAACACCTGGTTATTTATAAATACCAAGTGGCTAGCTGTAGCCTTTTTCTTTTCTAATTTACATGTGAATAACCCAACGATCTGTTTTATCTTTTTCTTGATCTCTGCCACCTCTTTTCTGGTATGCAGAAAGGTTCCAAGAAACCGTAACTCGTGTAGCTTCTTATTTGCTTTAACTAATGCATTTCCATATTCTATCTGTCTCTCTACTGTTGGGAGCTTTGAGTTTAGTACTATTAATTGCGATTTGTTGCCGTTGATTTCTATACCGTTTAGTAAGAAAAACTGTTCTGCTAATTGAGTTGTTTGTTTAAGCTGATCCTTTGAACTCGCAATCCACGTAGTGTCGTTGGCATATGCGAGGACTGCTTGTCTAATAGCTTTTGGCTTCTCGATTCCAAACAGGCTCTCAACTTGTTCTGATACTTTAACTTTGTAGCCTAGATTTACACTTTTTTGTATTTTATCTAACAAGAGATCATAAAAGATTCTCCAGAGGAGGAGTGAGATGGCTTCACCTTGGTCAATGTCTCCTTTTGCTACAACCTCTTGCGTTAGCCCATATGCAGTTATAAACTTTAGCCCTCTATTTTCAAAAAGGTTTTGAATTAGCTTGCAGCATATATCTGGAATCTTGATCCTCTTGAGTGCCTTTTGCAACATATCAAGGTTTACGGAGTCAAAGGCCTTCTTCATATCCTAGAAAAGAACACACATTTCTTGTTGGTTTTCTTCTGCCTCCTCGAGCAGGGCCTTAAGAATGTACACTGGTTCTTCTGTGGAGTTTCTCAGTAAACCTGCAAAATTGGGGCCTTGGAGGATTTCTTTCTCTTTGATGACCTTGCTTAGTCGTTTTGTTAAGATTTTTGTAACACATTTTCTAAAAACTTCTATTAAGGCAATTGGTCTAATTTTGTCTAAATTATATTCCCAATCTTGCCCTTTTGGAATTGGGTACACCTGCGTTGTTTTCCATTTACTTGGAACATTACCGACCCGCAAGCACGCTTCTGCAAAATTTTTAAAGACCTTTTGTGTTTTTGTATTCGCCTGCTTTAGTAGTGCATACGTAATTGTTGACATTCCAGGTGCTGAGTTGGTTTTACATCCATTTAACATTAGTTGCCACTCTTCCAGTGTGATAGGTTGTGTTACTGGATTGTACCACGTTTCTATAATTCGATCCTTTGGTTGGTATTCTTCAAACCATAACTTTTTTATTTCAGCACTATCCTCTCTTCTGTTTATAAACTGGTTTTGAAAATGAGACCGGACTTCTTCCAAAACCTCTGCTGGGTTAGTTACAAGATTTGTAGACTCTTGACATTGTATATAAACTCTGTCTAGAACTACCTTACAAACTGGACGCTCTAGCAGGCTAGTTAACATTTTCTTTTGTTCTTTTACAATTTGCTCTGCTCTTTTTTGGATATATTGTTGTATTTCTTTTTTTTTGACCTTTTCGCTACTTTCTACTAGCTTGCCTTCAATTATTTTCCACCAGGTTATTGCGTCTTCTAGCCATTCTGATGACTTCGGTATTTCGATTTCGTCAATACTGCTATCTGCCCATCTATTGACTTGTCTAATTTTTTTGTTCCATTGTTCTAATCTTATATAGAGCTCTTCTTCATTCGTTGCTTTCATTTCTCTTACTACTTTACTTAGTAAAACCACTACTTTGAAGAATCTGTTTTTCTTTTTCTTGTGGTTAGGCTTTTTTCTGAAATTCACCACTTTACTTGGCAGATTGTTTCGGCCTACTTTCAGAATTGCTCTTTCTATTATCAACCACATTTGATTTAAATTTGTTTCTAACTGGCCAAGAGATTCTTGGTCTGTGACTAGTGCATCTTGCTTTAGTGCAGATAGCACCTTATTGTTCAGGTTTTTCTATAGACTATCGTGATAATCGTCCCAGTTTTCTTTTGTTGCTTTTTCAAGTTTCCAAACTCTTTGTTTGATGTTGGGTATTGCTTTTTCTGTCTGATCGTTTACTAAAGTAACCAAGCTCCATTCAAATTTTGTACATGTGAGGTCATGATCGCTTCCTGTTACGGTTGACATATTATAAATTTCTGCCTCTTGCATCATATCTATTGCATTACTCGATACCCATATCTGGTCTATTCTTGTTGCTACTGTGCTATTGCTCCATGTAAACTTCTTTTTATATGGGTTATAGTACCTGAAAGTGTCCAGGAAGCCTCTCTCTCTGAGCCACGTATACATTGCTAATTTCTTATTATTATCTACTTGCGATAACTTGTCTAATACTGGGTTGACTATGTAATTAAAGTCTCCCATTACTACTATTAATACATTGTCTTGTGCTTCATTTATTCTGCTTTGTA